ACTAATAAAGTAAAAATAAAATAAACAGGATAGGAAAAATATACTAGTAAACTGAAAAGAGATAATAATTCGTTACAATATATACAAACAAATAAATGTACGCTGCGTTTTTATTTATGATAAATATATCTCACCTGATACAATATTATCTTCATGTTAATATCAGGTCGACTGTCAATATTCATAAATAAATGCACACCACATTTTTTTTATATTTAAACATATCTTACCACTTGATTCAGTTGTTTATTTCCACTTTTCGCCCAATACAATCCCATCTTCATGTATCAATTCATAAACACGATTAATATCGGGTCGCTCATCAAGATTCCAAACCCAACAGCTATTATAAAGTGCGACGTAAGAGCAAGTAGATCCGGCCACTGGTTTCTTATATTCAACTCCCGACGTTATATAGCCATTTCTTGAAATCACCCATAATATAATTCCAAGTCTATATATGTCAGATGAGTCTTTATAAATTTCCCCGAATGATATATAAGGATCCATAAAATTTTTTTTTCCAAAACACCACCACCACCATAAGGAGTTATAATTCGTAGATTCAATGGGTTGAATCAATATACTATGATGACTAACGACTTTAGAGAGCTTAAAGCCGGTAATAACTGCTCTAATGCCAAATTGGGTATTATTATCACCTTTAACAACCACATTCTTTGTATGCTAAAATAAAATTATTATTAATGTCTATCATATGTATTTATAGCCTGCAATACAAAATTCGGCATTGTCGCATTGCATCATTTCAATGCGATAATCTGAATTGCAACATTTTGAACTGAGTTCAAGCGTTTAACAGCAAATTATTATAATATAGTCGCAAAACAGTAACGTTGTAAATTATAACTTTACGTCAATTATAGACATGGAACAATTAATTAAAAAACGAATCTTACCAAGTTCCGGTGTAAAATTTCATTTTTGTGTAGAAATCACAGACCTCTTGTGATGTGTCGCGCAATATCAACCTTGCATTCCCACTTTAGATAATTGTTAATCAAATAGGTTTGCAAATCACCGTGATCTGTACATTCAAATGCGAGATAAAATTCTTCTCTAGGAAACACTAAATATAATATAATAAGATGTTATAGATAAGCATAGTATGTGAATTAACAATTGGAACCGTTTAGCCACATAAATATTTCCAAAACTATCAGGAATGTTATTAATCGACAAAATTAAGAGGTTAAACGAATAAGAAAGTTTTAGGTTGTTCCAAATCCTACTTTCTGAAAGCCGTTTTCCCGAAAGAAAAAAATTAAATGGAATTAGCTATAATACCGGTCAATTTAGTCGGTATTTTTCCTTTCTGGAAAATGGCTTTCAGAAAATCATTCTATAACCATTCAAATGTATATGTATATAATTTACCATCGTACAAAAATTTAGAGATATATTTCTGGTCGTCTGTCTTTATCATTGATATATATATTATATGTTGTGAGTAAAGTTGTTTTTCAGAAGTCCTAAAAATTTTGAACTTACTTTAAAATGTCCTAAATTTCTAAAATATATTCTAAATTTCAAAAATAAATACAGTATTAACTAAAATTCAATTTTTTTGATTTTCGGATGCGACTTATACTGTATAAAGCAACAATTTTCGAAGCAGTTGTCCGAAAAATCCTAAAGCCCTAAAATGCCCTTTTTGCCAACCTTAGTTGAGAGGCCTTAATTATCATATAGATAAATACAAGAATTAAAAAAAAAAAACAAATATATTGTTAAGAAAAAAACAAACAAATTTACCTCTTCGAAAAGCTTTTCTGACTTTTTTAACTTTTCCAACTTTTCCAACTTTTCCAACTTTTCCAACATTTCTAACATTTCTAACATTTCCAACATTTCCAACATTTCTAACATTTCCAACTTTTCCATTCTGATGCACCAGAACGAAACTAGTTTTAGGACTTGTCATATAAATTTTAACGCATTGTGTTACAATTCACATCTTACTTTGTCGACATGCAGAAATAAGTTTATGATTAGACGTTAGGCATCTCAGTATTGGTTGCGATCTTACTCGTGATCAACCACATTTCCTTTTAGACTAAAACAGATTTTTGTCGAATTATGTGCGCTATATGAGCGGATTATCAGTTCGTTCTGAGCATGGCCAAAATTTTTTTAAGTTCAACGACTTTTTAGATGTTGCACTGCTATGTAAACTTTATTTGAAATTATTACGTACGTACTAATAATGCATGATTAGTTTTATTATAATTAATAATTGCGATTTACTCTCGGATCATTTTTATTTGATTGAGCATATAGTTTTATTTGGTGCTCATTTCACTGACAATCACCTCGTTTCACCGGCAATCGATTCACCGACAAGTTCATTTCACCGTAGAGATGGGCTTTTGTCAATACGTATTATTACTTATCATTAAGAAATTTTATCACCAAATTTTATTACGTAGTGGTAATAAGTAAAAAAATGTGGTATTTGCAAAATAAGCCTGATCGGATTTTAAATTATATCATTCAAGTTGTATTTGTGAATCGTAATAAGTAATAATCAGTCGTAATTAGCAAAAATAAGTTCTGATACGTAAGGGTAAAAAAAATATTTATTGCACGGGTATTATGTAACATATAACTTAACCCATGCAAATTTAGTTATTTTTTACAACTCATACAATAACTATAACTTATTTATAAAAAATAGTTTTTTATATAAAAAAGGTATCAAAGTTCATGATATTATTACTAAGTTGTTACAATTTAAAGATTTTTTTCGGTTTTAAGATCTTTAAAGTTCTATTTTATAAATTACATTAATGTATTTCTTAAGCATGTTAAAAAAAAGTAGTTACGACATTTTCACAGATTTCTGTAAAGATAATTACAAATTTAAATCATGATTTAATGCTTAATGGTGACTAAACATTTATGTTAAATTCCGATATTTTATTTTGATATTTCTCAATATTTGCGAAGTCGCTATTGCAAGTGCTTGAAATTCTAACTTTAGGGGCTAACTTTAATCAATACAAATCCAAGTAGATGCTAACTTCAAGCACAACATTGGTTATCAGAATTACTATTATTGTCAAATTATTGGGTTTTTAAAAACTTAAAAACCTGATAATCAGAGGTTTGGTTGTTTTTTTTACATGTAGAAAGCAATTAATGTAGAAAATATAAACCAGTTCAGTGAAAAGATCTGAAAAGATTTTGTTCTTCGAGAATATAAGTCGATAATTTTATGTCCTCAAAAATTTTTAATGTTCTTAATGATAATAAAAACAACAAAAATTTAATTTTCACTAATTATAATATATTTTATGATAGCACAATTAAAAATTTATATTCTTAGATTTTACTCAAAGAGAACATAATTTTTAAATGCAATGTTCTCAAATTTTTAAATGTTCCTGAGAATATTAGGAACATTAAATCTTTAACATTGAATTAATATATTTGCGAAGTTGCAACTGTAAGCATGATATTGATTATCAGAACTACTGCTATTGTCGAAATTTATGTATTTTTAAAAACTTAAAAAATTTGATAGTAATTAAGGTTTGGTTAGGTTTGCCTTTTTGTTAAATGTATTTGTAATACTATTGAAATTGAAAAATCGAATAATTAAAAGATTGTGAAAGGTTAGATCAAGTTGGTAAGGAATTTATTTGTTAAAGCAATTAAAATTTTTTTTTAATTAATCTGTAATCAGATTAGTGGTCGCATATTGATCCAAATAAATCAGTCAATTATGCGATTACGTATATTCCACCTACATATTATTTATTTTGTGGAATTACTCTTTATTAATGTATTTAATTAATAATTATATACGTAGTAAAACTTCTATAAATGCACGTTATTGGGTCTAAACTTTAACAAAGTGCACTTTAAGCACAATAAAGAAAAGTACATACATAGAGGTCATTTTATATATATGAACCAGGATTTGAGTGCTCATTTAGAGAGGGTGTGAACTTGTAAAGGTTGTGCTTATGGAAGTTTTACTGTATGACGTTTGGCTCATCAAGACATTTGTAACTCTCGAATTTATATTGTAGACTATTAAATTTATTAGTTAATTACTTTAGAATGTGCGCTAAATATAAATAATAAGGCTGTTATTTTATTCGCATACTAGTAGTTCATTGAACATTAGCATAAAGCTTGAAATCTAAATATATTTGAATTTTTAATAATTTAGATGGCTGAGTCACCACCGCCATGTTCTAGTCACTGAAAAATTTTAATGTTATACTTGATTGCTAATAATGCTACCACAGCTATCCATGAATAGTAAATAAATTTACAAGCCATTGTCTAAAGCCAGTACGATACCACCATAAGTTTATTAAGCTTCGGTGGCTGAGGACTTGATTTGGTAAATTAGGCAGTTTCATTAAAATTGCAACGAATTGAACACAATAACCTTGAGTTGAGTACACAGATTGCAGTCCAGAAAGAACTACTAAAATCGCAGATCCCACAATACCAACTGCCCAGATAATATATCCGCGCATAGCAATCAATCCAACGAGTAATACTACACAGACTGCTGTAAATACAATGATAAGAAACCATCCAACTGCTGGTTCGAACTGAACACAATTAGAATAGGTAGCTGAACTCCAGTCAGTTATAATTGTTCCACATGAAGTATCTTCATAGGTGATAGTAATATTTTTCGTAAACTTTGCGATGCACATAAGGTCACCAATAGCATCAAATGCAAACCACCATCTCCATGCACGTATTAAACCTACCGTCATTGCTAGTAAATCAATAAATAATGCTAAGAATCTTAATAATTCTTCAGCTCTGTGATATTTTCTAAAAGAATTTGACATTTCCACTATTGGATGTGTGTATTCAAATTCAGACATTGTTGAATGCGTGTACTCGGGACTCTTTCCAAGCATCACTTGAAAAAGCGTTTTTCATCTTTGTTTAAATCCTTTTTTTCCATCTTCAAGGGTGAGTCTAATAATATTTGATCCAATTCCCAAAGGCAAACTGAAGGGCATATTAAATGCTATTGACATCGGACCTTGTATTGCTACAATTACACGCCATAGGGATAATATCCCACTAACAAGAGACCATAATGCTGCAATAGGATTAAACCTGGTCCATTTATTTGTAGGAAACAAAATAAGCATATTTAAAACTAGTGATGTGCCAACTATTGCCCATGGTGTTAGTTGACTTTCCTTCGAAGGCACTAATACAAAACCTTCAAATGGGCCCAAGTCACACATTGTAGCTATGTAGTCAGTTGATAGTTTATTTCCTTTGAACTGTGTGAAATTATTCGGCAAGAAAGAATTATGTTTATTAAGCACACAAAGGAACAATGAAGAGATATAATTAGATTTAAAATATATGTAGTGTCACTAGGTACAAATAAACAAATTCATTTATCATAAAAAGCTTTAAAACAATATTTTATGGGTATATAGTAATAATCTAGTTTCTAAAATTAAATTATGCCTATAATATTAAGGGGAGGGGCAGGAATCAGCTGATTTTTTACGGGATAAGGGTTAGAGTGCTATTTACTATATTAAAGCATATACTGTAGTATGATTATATCGATCAGGTGGGGTTGGGAAGACCCTTATATTAAAATGAAATCATCTGACATCTGTCCCATCTAAGTAACTTGTTTAGGACTTTATTCTACTACACGTGATATTACCAATAAACGGTATTCTATGAAGAAATAAGAATTATAGAAAAATTGTTAAAATTGAGATTTTAAACTTATTATTTTAAACGTTGTCATATTATTAATAATATTTGACATGTTTATGTATATTTGTATGTGTTTGTGGTTAAGGATCTATGTACCGTACGTACGTACCTTTTCACAATGTCCGAATTAATGAAGTAGTTCTTTTATGTTGCCATACAGTGTAATGTATTTGTACTGTTTTTTTTTTTATCATTTTTGTACTGAGGATTATCGAAAACAATTTCCTGTAATATAAATTATTGCAGTCAGGGATTTTCAAAGTTGTGTAACGCAGATCATTTCGTTTTTTGGTAAAGATCTGCAATTTTGTGGTACAAATTTTGACCAAATTTTGGCCAAATTATTGACTACTTTTGTTATTTACTACATAACGGCCTTATAAAGCCTCTGGGATCCACACGGATTCCTAAACTACATAGTCTTAAGAAACTTTTTGTAAAAAAATTTTGAAAATTTTTTTAAAACTGATAGTTATTTTCAGAAAATAAAAAATACTTTTGTTTTTTTAATTGAAAATCGATTTTAGAATACTCTAATATATTTGCAGATCATTTCCATATTGCGGAAAATCCCTGACTGTATTGGGGGCGTTTGTTTTATGTTATTTATTTATATAAAAAAGTATTTAAAGTGTGAAGATATTTGTTATTAAACCTTTATTTTGTTTAATTAAAAGTAAATATTAAAAATGCTATTAATCAAAATATTTGATTATTTAATTCAATAAGTGAGAATAAAAAAAATTTATTAAATTATGAAATTCAAGTTCATAATATGAAATACTTCATTAATTTTATTTGTTGACAATAATAAAATTTTTTGTACATATTTCACGATCTTATATGTTCGTCTGTGAAATTTCTGATGATGTCTTTATAATGACATAATGCCGTGAAAATATCAAAATTATTTCATAGGCATGATGTCATCAGTAAAAATTTAATCAGAAATGTTAGGGGCATAGGACCGTGAAATATCTATTATCAACTTTATTATAAATATACTGAGCATCTTATCGTTTTATTTAGAACTGAATTCAAGCACTAATTTACAAATTCAAATAGCAGACAGGAGTTCTGAAAGCAAAATCCGGACTTATCAAATTCACGTCTGTCAAAAGGCCGTTAACATTTCTACCATAATATTACCAAACTCATAAATATATGCTGCCTATGTAAACTGCTATTTGCCTGATAAAGTTTCAGATGCAGCATAGGGTATCGCCTTTTGAAACACACTAATCTTTATTTTAAACAATCCTAGATCTGCAATATAATATTGCGTATTTTCATTAGTGTGATGGTCTCGCATAATTTTACCATTATGAAAATCGGCATGGTTGAATCTGCTGCATTGTGAATAATATTTAGCTCATTAGAAATATCTTATCCCTTAAACCGTTTTTCATTTCAGGGCAAATTTGCCCTGAAATTTTCCAATGATCACTTATATTATAACAGTGACAAAATAATAGCAAACATAATACCAAATTTTATATCACAATATAAAAACAGTATTTATTTTATTGTTTATATTCATGATACTCAATAAAGCAATTTGGATATTGCTTATTAAGACATAAAGATACATTACATATTTTGCACCACACCTGTCCTCGTGGTGAATTTTTATCATGTTTCTCTTGTTCAGCTATAGTTTTAAATTGGCACCAAACACAGGAACCTTTATCTTCATGATATATTGGGTAGTGACTTTGTGGGGATAATCGTTCAATGGGTAAG